AAAAAAAAAAAAAAAAAAGCTGTTTTTGCATATATTGTATGCTATGAGTAAACCAATAATTACTTCAAGTATTCTACAAAATTGACTTATTTAGTCGATATCGAATAAGTGCTTTGAAAAAACAATTTATATACAAATAAATTTTATTCTCCTAATTTTTCAACAATTCAGAAGTAATAGCACATCGATATCAACAATTCTAAAAGCTCGTCTTATTCGACGTGGTGTCAGTAATCGCAAGCTGAATGCAAAACGGAAGTCATCAAAAATGCAACGAAAAGAACGGCGAGCTACCAAAACTTTAGGTGTTGTTGTCGGTAAGTTTTAGTGTTTTCTGTTACAACACTTCTGCAGTTACTGATGGAAAAAACATAAAATATAGTTGAATTTAAATAGAAATCTTTGGGCTCAACAAGATTTTAAGATTTTTCATTGTCTTATCAATATATATTGCAAAAAAAAAAAAAAAGAAACAGTAAGCTGTTGCTGCATTTTGTTCTCTAGAAAAATGGTAATGATTTGGGATAACAGCTTAAGTTTACAAATACAATTTTTGTTGTAATACTTTTTTTTTTTTTCAGGTGTCTTTTTGCTATGTTGGGTACCATTTTTCACGATGAATATACTGAACGCAGTTTGTATCTTATTGAAGGTTGATGCTTGCGTAGTTAATTTTGATGTTTTTTTTTATTGCACATGGATCGGGTATATGAACTCATTTATGAATCCAATTATATATACCATTTTTAATGCAGAATTTCGACGAGCATTTAAAGTTATTTTACATTTAGAAAATTTTAAAAAATTTTCTAGTACATTTAGTTAATGACTGATTTACACATATTTGTATCATTGGAAACAGACTGATTATATTTTTGAAAATTTTATACACTAAGTTTGTTATGCAGTAGAAAATTTGTTGATTAATAACTGTTACTGCTGCATCTGTTTTTTTTTGTTGTACAGAAAGCTTAGGTGACGAAACGAAGAAAATATGAGCAAAAAAAAGTGGGAGGATTCTGAATTTTTGATTCAGCGAAACTGTTATTAAGATTTATACCGTTGTTTCAGAGTATTTATAGATTTAGCCATTATTTTTGTTTTGTTCTGTTTTGTT